GTAAGATTAACAACTGTAAGTACCGCCACAAAACTGGCGCAGCGACCCTACGCTGCGTTTCATCCGGGCCGATCCGGCTGGCGGCCGCCAAACCGGAATCATCAGGGGTCTTCTTCGAATCGCAAGGGAGAGGGACTAGACAAATAGTGCTAGCAGAATAAGTACTGTTGGAAAGGACAAACGAACTTCGGTCGAAGAATCCAGAATAGTCACGATAGAAGAAACAAAGATGAGGGGCTTCCAGAAGACCAGAGCATTTAGACAGAAAGAGACCCAGTCACCCAGATACAGTAACCGAGAAAAGGATCAGAGCTAGCTGGGTTGTATTCGAAACTGTATCTCGTTCGTCTTCTTTTATTATATAAAGCTGTCTTCTCCTCATCAGGGAACAGCTATATAATATATGGAGTGAAGTTTTTGGCTGTGACAGACCTTTCTTTGTTTCGTGCGTGTTTTGACTACTTGTGAAGTTGTGATGGGGTGTGAACCGACAGTCTGTAGAGTTTTCCATCTGGTGTGGGTGAGTGATAAGTCTACTTTGATTTTCGTCACAGGTACCTTAAGGGAAGTGGTTGGTGGCCCCCTAAAGGTTTCACCGTATCAGTTGTTGGGCAGTTGTTGATGCTTAACCACAGCCAGGGTTAAGGTGGGGGATAATTGGTAGAAAGAGCCCTCGCCAAAACCTTTCCGGTTTTGGGCGCCCGAAACTCAGCCGTTTGGTGCTACCAGCCCAAACAACTTTCCTCTGGGCCCTGGGTGAAAGACACCTTCGCGCCGTGGCAACGTCTCCCTGGGCCTGTTTTTACCGGTTCAAGAATTTGGCGCTGTTTTGACCGGTTCAAGAATTTGGTGCTGTTTTCAAAATAGCATACGTGGGCCTCATTCTATACTTCAGTGGTACCACCTCCGGCCTCTTTTACATCAAAATGAATCTGGCGCTGTTATGCGCCAGACGCATGATCCGGTAGTGCCCTTGGAGCGACGCGTGGACCTGTAGTACCCTACATGCAAGCCATTGGGCAGGTAGTACCAAGCGGCCGAGTTTCGGGCACCCGAAACCGAAAAGGTTTTGGCGTGGGCGCTTTCTACCGATTATCCCTTAAGGTGGTATCACTTACAGTGTAATCAGTTAGGGATTCTGCAGACTGTTTTTGAGGGTTCAGCCTCCTGAAGAGTAGGTAGGTGAAACTCCGAAGAAAAACAGTTTGTCACAGCCCCTCGTTTGTTGTCCTCTTTTCCCTCTCTGCCTACG